ATAGTGCAAAGCATGTATTTCCAAAGGTTTAGAAACTGTGCTGCATAGTGATAAAATCTCCAGGCTCTTGCAGGAAGTACCCTTCAGGTTTCAGCTGTGTTCGAATGGTGTATTAAAAGCTTTCTCATTAAATCAAGGATGATTTGTTTTTAAAAAAACACAGATTTAATTTTTTTTGTCGTATTAGATAAAGGCAAGTTCAGAGAGAAGTACAGGAAGCCTTTTCTTTGTTTTGTTTGGGTTATGTCACTTCAGGTGGAAAGTTTCTGGTCTAGACCAAAGTAAAGAGTAACATTATTTTAATTGTTTTGTAAGCAGTTTAATGTTTGTTTTCTTACTCCTTTTTTATTAGCCTCTAATGGAAAGCAAACTTAAAGCATTCAGTATTGGCAAAATGAGTGCTGCCAAACGGACTCTGAGCAAGAAGGAGCAAGAAGAATTAAAAAAGAAGGTAATGGTATACAATGAAAAATTTATTTTGTATACAGAGCTGAAATAAGTTTGCTTTTAGATTACAACCAGCTTTACCACCAGATTTCTTTATTTAGATAATTGTAGCTTTCTAAGAATGAAAGTGGATGGTATTTTACATGTTTAACTTGTTCTTGGCATCCATGGCTTTAAGATAGAGAGAAAGGCTGGCTTCTCTTTCCTTCTGTGTGAGAAATCAAGTTCTCTGGCTTTGTGAAATACTGAATTACAACAATCCATTGATTGTTGTGTTGCTGAAAATGAAGACAGCCATCACCTTGGGTTTATTTTCTGTTCTTTGTTTGCTCTCTGTCATTGGATTTCAATAATTAGGAATAGTATCTGTTGTCTCTGAAATTTTCAATACACATACTTGTTATTGTGCAAAACATTTTTGTCTAATGACTTCTTTTGGAATTAATAAAAACATTAAAATGTGATACTGAATTTTAGGATACTCAGCAGTGTCCAAATTTTAGGAAATATGTAGCTTATAGTTGGTAAGGTGGAAGCTTTGAAAACTTTGGGCTTTGAACTTCACACAGACAGCTATTACTGTATTTCAGTGGGATATCTCCTGCTAGGTTGTTGGAAATACTAGCCTAAAGAAACACAGTAGTGCTAAATTTAGTGTCTCACTATTAAGTCACTGAATTCACTTCTTCTCTGGGAAATACATAAAGGTGGTCCTGTTGTTAATCTCCTTCAATCACATGGGTTGATTGTAATGGGTAAGATGGAATGTGTACTGTTCTCTGATGCTTAGGTCAACAAAGCTCCAGTCTCATAATGGTGGTCTTTCATATGATATTTTCTATTTGGCATCTTTTGAATGTTAAATTGCCATGTAAACTCTTGTAAATGAAGTCATATTTAAGCATACAGGCCTTATTTGCTTTATGTATTATGTGCTGTGTTCTTCCCACATTTCTCAGAAATTTGAATTCTGTCTAAAATTGAAACTCATTTGATGCGGTTTGTGGCATGAACTCTAGAAAATAAAAAGGAATGTCACATAGCTAATTTAAGAATAGCTGTCTAGTGAAGGTTGTTCTGTGATGATAGTAAATAGATTAACATTTGCTGTGTAGGAGGATGAGAAGGCTGCTGCAGAAATTTATGAAGAATTCCTTGCTGCCTTTGAAGGAAGTGATGGTAATAAAGTGAAAACATTTGTAAGAGGAGGAATCGTTAATGCATCTAAAGGTACAACTAATCTTTTTTTGGGGGGCGTGGTGGTGGATCATTTGGCTTTGAGTAAAGATGAAGATTGGCTTTGAATTGCATTTTAAAATTAATCTGTTAAATTAGAAGCAGCAAGAGAAATTTGATGCTAAAATGTACTTTGCTTTGACTCACTAGGTAGGTAGTGATATGACTTGTCTTTTAAACTTCAGAGGAAAAAATGCTTTGTTTTAAAATACCTAATCTTTGTTCTTTTTCTTCATTTTAAAAGATGCTAAATTACAGAAAGTTTGTATTGTCACTTCTTTATGAAATAATATGTGAACTGAATGAACAAGACTAAAGAACAATAGCATTCTTTCTAGTGAATAGTATTGTGCAGCACTAGTTAATACAATTTGGTTTTAATTTGCCTTTAATTTCAGAGGAGCATGAAACAGATGAAAAACGGGGTAAAATCTATAAGCCTTCATCACGATTTTCAGATCAAAAAAATCAACCAAGCCAGCCATCTAATGAGAAGCCTCCATCCCTCTTAATGATAGAAACCAAAAAGCCTGTAAGTTTCTTATTCAAATATTAACCCCATACTTAGGAAGTATTTAGAAGTGCTTAGAAAAAGGTCTGTGTGATCTTGCAGAGTAGTTTTATCTGCATTTATCGCATATTAAAAGAGGATGGAAATCTTGACTTGCTTAATCACATAGCAAATAACATGATGGTGAAATGCAGAAGTCCAGTAGCCCTGTATCCAACATGGTATACCTAGTACTGCAGTTTGATTTGGCTGCTGTATGTTTTTACTGTGTTCCTGATAATTTGAGACAGACTTCTGAATACAGATCTAGTGACTGTTGCAAAGTAACAGTATCTCCAATCCTGAGAATTTGTGAAGTTTTAGAAGCAATTCTTCTTGCTGCCATCTGGTTTTAGATTTTTATAACTTAAAAAAATTAAAAAAAATTGACCTTTGCATTGATCCAAGTTTTTCTTGGTGAGGTTTTTTGAATTTTTTTTGTTGTGATGTTTGAGAAGTCCCTTTAGCTCGTTGAGTTGTACCAAATAAGTTGTAGAACTTGCACATTTTTGAAGCTGAACACTTTGTTTTTATTTAATTGATTTTGACTTCTGCATGGTTTGATACGGGTTTTTTCTCTTAAACTGAGATGTCATCATAAAAAGCAATGGAAATGTTATGAACACACTTAGTCTTCAAGTAGTCAAGCAATAGTTACATATGATTACTGTTACTACTGTATATGTGTAATGTGTAATTAATGTCTTGGACGTCTTTTAAAAAGTCTTTTAATAGAGCTTACGACAATTTTTAAGCTTAAGTGAAAAATATATGCTACTGCCTGTTAGGGTGGGAAATGAGATGTAATGTGATAATTGTGGGTAATCCCATCCTAGCCTCTCTCCAGCTTTAAACAAAACTCAAATTTAGACTAGTGGGGTAATACTGGATGGCAGTTTTGATTTTCATTGTATGTAAAGCTCTACAGTTAACAGAAATTAATTGTAGCATTTTTTTATTATGCTGAGCTCTGTTCTGTCATATGCAAATGTTTGTACTGTAAGATATTACTGCTTTTCAAATTTGTCATAAATACTTATCAAGTAATGCAATCAATTTACTCACTTGCCCTGTCCAATGGTGATTGAAGATAACGAGGTAAAAATGATTTTATTTATTTGGCAGACCCTCCCCAAAAACAAAAACAAACAAACAACTTTGCCTGGGGTGAGTAGGAAGTCCAGTTTTTCCAAAGCTGTAGTGTGTAACACAATAAATATTTTGTATGTCTGCCTACTGGAAACGTTTTAATTTAAATTTGGTTATATAAAAGCAATTTTGTTGAAGATAAGAGTTCACATGAGTTAGTTAAGGTACATGTATTACAGTAACAAAAAAAAAAAGTATTACAATAGCCATATTCTTTGTCATTCAAGAGTGTTTTTTCAGAGGATCTTTGACTATTTAGAGTAACTGCTTCTTCAGACCTGTATTATATCCAAAAGAAAGCAAGATAAATTCTTTTCACATCGAATGTTTGTCTGTGGATAAAATAACTGAAAATATATATATGTAAAATAATTTACATATATATGTACACACACATATCAGTTTAATTAGAGCATGATGGATTGCTAGGGGTATAGTCAGCTTCTGAGTTTCTAAGTGGAACAAACTGACAAAATACATCACAGATTTTAAATTTGTATGTTGTAGAGAGAGTGTTTGATCACACATGCTGCACTGTAATAATGAGAAGTAACAAAGTTTAGTTTAGGCTATCCTTAATTTTATATTTTCTAGCTTTGTGTTTGATAGCGCTCAGTCTTAATGTTTTCAAGTCTGGTTTGTTGTGGTGGTTTTTTTTTTTTTTTTTTTTTTTTTTTTTCTCCTCCTGTAGTTTACTTTGTTTGAAAGCTGTGGGTAAAATATGCATGGAAATTATCTCAAATTTTGTTTTTATATATATAAAATTTTTATTTTTGTTTCATTTTATCTGCTGAAATGTTGGCTGATATATCTTTAATTTTAGCCTTTGAAGAAAGGGGAGAAGGAAAAGAAAAAGAGTAATTTGGAACTTTTTAAAGAAGAACTAAAACAGTAAGTTTGACTAATTTTTACTGTAAATAAAGAAGATGCAAGGTTTTTACCTTGTTTTTACAGGTGATATTTAGGATTGTTCTTGCTAAGCTGTTTCCCAAAGTAGGTTTTTGGTTTGTTTTTTCCCCAAATGCTTGTGGAGTGGTATAACTTAATTAACAATGGCAGTGATAATTAAACAGAGTATGAACCCCTGCTGGTAGATGCTCAGTATAGGTGTCTGCTCGCTATAGGTGTCTGTGACTGGATAATCGGTTGCCATCTGATTAGTTCTCTGGTGTTCCTTGATAACTTCTGCCCTTTTATGCTGATTGGTGATAGGAAATGTTTACCACTATTGCTGAAAAGGACTTCTGTTTTGAAATCTGCGACAAGAGGCTATAAAATGATCAAAAAACAAACCAAAAAAGCCCAGTATGCTGGCTTAGATCTTTGTCTATTGAAATGAATGGATTTCTTTGCATGTCAGCAATGTTTGATTGTGACCTTTGAAAGAGTTTGGTACTGCCTTCCTAAGCAGAAGAATATCCAGGGCAATTAACCAAAAAAACCTACATATAAATTCATAAAGTATTTCAGAGATCCCAGTAAGTGAATGACTGGCAATGTTTCCAAAGCTACTGAAGATGATTTTTGGATCAGTTAGGTGTGAATAGAAGCTTTGATTGAATCAACCAGCCACCTACCTGGATAAAAAATGGAAAACTAGGTTTGTTTCTTTGACAGCTGCTGAAAGTATGTTACTTAGAAGTAGAACTTGGGATGCAATTCTGTTATAAATTAGCAAGTGTGAGCCTGTAAATGAGAACACTTGTTAACATGGTCTCATGCATTGTTAAAGTTAGTGAAGATACAGCAAGACAAGTAGCAACTGTAATGGATGAGGATGTTCAGGTTTTTGCTGTTGACTTTTCTCTTGATGGGGATGTAGAAAATTGAAATATGTGTATCTTGGGATACTCAGGAAGAATAAGTAGTTTTGTCAGTGTCTCTCAAACTATATCCAGAGGAATTGTAGTATGAGGTTGAGCTTTTGTAGTAATGCTGAAATAAGACTTGTAATTATTTAGAGATATACTTCAGCTTGCATAATTTTAAAAACAAGCTGAAAATGCTTCAGAAAGATTCTTTCACTTTTGAATGTGTAATACAACAGAAAGAGCAGCACATGTATTGAGTGTAACTGAGTGCCATATATTTGCCCTGATGTTAGAGATGGAAAACAAAATTCTCTGTATGCATTAGAAAACAATAGGTACTGCATTATAAATCCATAAATGGCTCTTGTGAGTAGTGTCTGAACTTCACTGCTGTCTGTTTGTTGGTTGATGTAAATGAATTGAATTGACAGCCTTGTATTCCTGGTACACAATATCTTCATACCAGGATTTAAGACCAAACTACAGAGAACCAAATAGTTACTTGTTTAACTATTCTCAGGCATATAAACTGAGATGAGATCCAGTATGTTCTGCAAATAGTCATACGGGGGTGTCTATTACTTTACAAGGTGACAGCCTACGTGAATTAAGGCTTAGAAAAGGTAGGAGAAGAAATAGACATTAAGGAGTTGTGTGCATCTTGAAAAGTCATCTGAACGGTCAATGGATCTCTGGCAGCTGGAGGTGGAATTTGGGTCACTTTTTCAGAGCACAATTCTTATTTCTGGTCTTGTAAACTGCTTCTCAAACCAAGTCAGTTTTGTTTGAGATGAAAACACCCTGACAGTATGAATGAGGAAGCATGTAGTTGGAATAATTCTGGTGGATATATTCCAGTTGATTAAACAGAAATTCAAACATACTGGCAATTTGAAATTTTAACAAACCCATTGTTTAATATTAAAAATTCATATAATTCTAAAGTTAATTGAAAATTTTAGAATAAAAACCTCAAAATGGTATTAAGTTGTTACTTACATTACACTTGTTTTATAGAATACAAGAGGAGCGTGATGAAAGACATAAAACAAAGGGTAGATTGAGTCGTTTTGAACCACCCCAGTCAGACTCGGATGGCCAGCGTCGTTCAAGTAAGTAGATGTTATTTTTTATGTTTGTTTGGGCTACAAAATTTGTAGACTAAATTACATGTATTTTTCTTCTATTTATTCAGTGGATGCTCCTTCAAGAAGAAACAGATCATCTGGTGGTAATATAGATTCTTTTTTCATTCAGTATAATGTTGTCACTTAAATGCATAGCAAGGATTATGACTTCTTTTTTTTCCTGTTTTTTCCTCCATCATTGTAGTACTGGATGATTATGCACCAGGGTCGCATGATGTTGGAGATCCAAGCACAACAAATTTGTATCTTGGAAACATTAATCCTCAAGTAGGTTTGGAGCCAAGGGGTGAAGTGTAGTGTTGGCATGTTTGTGTCCAGCTGAGTGTTTTTCCAGTGGCAGTTTTCCACCCTTTTTATTTTAAACCATACGCATATGTTTAAACCCATATGCTAAGTACAATTGGTGACTCTAGAGGCAGTATTCCTTTGAATAAATGCTCTGTACATGATGCTGCAAACATTAAGGTTTAGACTATCAGTTACTAGATGCAAAAATGCTCAGTTAAAATCATTTTTCCATGGATATCTCTGTGCAAGGAGGATCATATCTCAAAAATTTGAGTATGCTCAGTTTCAAATGCAATTTTTTTCAGTTATTGTTTCTGTAGTAGATTGCATTGGGGAGGTATCAATGAAGTATTGTTTTTCAAGAAACTCAGAAAATTAAAATCTCAACGTGTAGATGATAATATGAACAAGTATCTTAGAAATACAGTAGCAAGATGCTAATTTTTACCTTTTATCATGTAGATGAATGAAGAGATGTTATGTCAAGAATTTGGACGCTTTGGACCATTAGCGAGTGTTAAAATTATGTGGCCAAGAACTGATGAAGAAAGAGCGAGAGAAAGAAATTGTGGCTTTGTTGCCTTTATGAACAGGAGAGATGCTGAAAGAGCATTAAAGAATTTAAATGGTAAACAGATTTCTCAGTTCGGAATTGTAATTATCTTTGTAGGAATATTGAGGAGTAACCATAAACATATCTTCAAGTTGTTTTATTAGACTAGTGATAGGTATGCTCTAACTCCAGTAGATAAACCACACTGGCAGTGATTTTAGTTTACACTGACTGTTTTACTGGCAGCTGAATGTCATCAAACTGTGGCATGCACAAGGGCTGCGATTACTGGTGGCTTTTGCTGTGGGTAAAGATGTAGAATTTCTGACTGTTTGGAAGATGTGAGCGGGAGGTAATGTTTGATAATCTCTCCTCTGTAAACAGACTATTTTAAGAAGGAATCTATTACTTGTAGTTGTTTCCCAGCAATAATTTTTTTTGTGAACAAATTTAACTAGTGCACAGGATGTAATCAATAATTGGTGATAAATATGTCATGTTCTTTTGAATAATGGCTAAATTCCTAATACTGGAGGTAACTGTACTACACCAGATGTAATTTTGCATATGGACTGTCTTGTCTATCTTTTATTTGAAAAAAAGGAAAAAAAAGTCTTATGTGATGAAGAAAGCTATGTTCTTACAGTTCTGGAAAAGCCTGAAAATCAAAAATCAGCATCCTAGACAAAAAGAATAGAAAATGAAAGGTTGCCCTTGCATAGCTTGCTCAAAATGGTGCTTTACTAGGGCCGTTAGTAAGTAGGCTTACACTGTGTAGTTCTAATTGCTTATTACATTTGGGTTTGAATAATGTAATTTGAAATTTGTTGCCTTTAAGAATTGAAGTACAGAAATAATACGATTTAAAAATTACTCTGTTCATTCTGATGTGCTGAATATCAAATTTTTAAAGTTGGGGGTTTTTTTCCCCCCAACAAGTCAAGTAATTGTGTACTTTAGTCTCCCAAAAATGTACGTGGGGGAATATTAATAAAATATTTCACATAATAGGCTTTTATTTGCACATGATGTAGTCTGATACATTGTTGGTTAGTGTATCACATCTAAGCAGAAAGTAAGCCATGGCCGGCACACCTAAACGCTGCACTTACACGGGGAAATCTTGAGTGACACAGAACCGATTTATGACATAATGGTGTGTTTGTTTTGTTTTATTTACTTCCACTTTTTCAGGCAAGATGATTATGTCGTTTGAAATGAAGCTAGGTTGGGGCAAAGCTGTACCTATACCACCACATCCAATATACATTCCGCCTTCTATGATGGAGCATACCCTCCCGCCTCCTCCATCAGGACTGCCTTTTAATGCCCAGCCTAGGGAGAGGTTGAAGAATCCTAATGCTCCAATGTTACCACCACCAAAAAACAAGGAAGATTTTGAGAAGGTAACTTACAGTACCCTGGGCCATATCTCATTGTTAAATACTACATCTGTGACAGTATTTCAGTGGCTTCATAGATTTGCATTGCTCAGGTTGACTTTGGCGGCCCTTAGTGTACAAACTCACTGGCTCCCTGCTGTAGCCCAAGGGAACCTAGTTAATTCCTGAAGCTCTGTTTCATGTCTGTGTTAGGGTACAGTATATTGGGTCTTGATTTATTTTAGTGCTGCTTTAAATCTGGCTATCATTTTCCCCCTCCAGGCTCCCTGGATTTTTTTCTCCTACGTCCCCCCTGTTTTGTTGGCTGCCAAATTGCAGTATCTAAATTGTTTTCTTTAGAGAAAATACTACATTTTAATTTTGGTAGCAATATTTTTACACTAGAGGAATTGATAGATTTTGTGTAGAAGGTAATTAATCTGGACATTGAGTAAGTATTGTATGCTACTTATGGAGTCAGTTTTCAAACTTTTTTTTTCTGGAATATTAGCTGATAAAAGGGTAAGTATCTTGTAATCACAAACCAACTTGATTTACATTTTTAAGAATTTATTGATTCTTTGAATGACACTTAAATGTTAGGGCTGTTTTTTGTAAGACTTGGGAATAAAGTAATACCAACATGATCCAAGTCAAATAGTTTAGAATCTTTTCATAAACTTAAGAACTCCTTTCTTAATTATATTCAGCATAGTACCTATTCAGTGCATCAATGTACATTCTGACAGGAATGTTCTGATACTTTGCAATTAGTGAACCTTTATGGTTCACTGACACAACCATTTTGCTTTTTGTGTAATTGCTTAGTTATAACTTCACAGCAGTGATTGCCTGCAAAACTTGTGATAGATGTGTAGTATTTACATTGCATATGTATATTTTTGCTTGTTACTTGTTAACAATACTCACATATTCTATGTTTATTATCTGATGTGACTTCATATACAGACTCTGTCGCAAGCCATAGTCAAAGTGGTTATCCCAACAGAAAGGTACATGTTTTTCTTTATTATTACTGATCTAAATATAGAAAATTTCCCCTTCGGAATTTTAAAGAAAAATGATGATGTTGAGGAAACGGTAATGGCTTGACTGAGCAATGGTTCTTTCATGACACTTGAGAGAAATGTGTGTGTTTTACAGTCTTATTATCCTTATCTTAATAACTCTTTTTTAGTGAGGAACATTTAATTTGAGCACTAGAAATAGTTGCAGGGTAATTTTGTGAGTGAACACTAGGGTGAAATAGCTTGTCTTAGAGACAAGTGTAAGTCCTGACATAAACCTCTGAGTACTTCATAGCTGGGATGCAGCTGTCTCCAGTGTGGTGCTGTGGGTTTTTTTTCCTTTCCTTTTTTTTTTTTTTTTTCTTTCTTTCCTGACTTGTACAATTTGTAACCAATTCAGTTAAAAATCACTTTTGATTTCTGATATTTTTTTTTTAATGTGCAACAGTTAATAATTTTCATCGCTGAAAAAGGTAGTTCTGTATTGTAAGGGTATTTCTAGATTTTGGTCCCCATCAGTGCTCCTACCTTCATGCTAGTCTAGGCATACTCTTGCTCAGTTAAGCTAAAACCTTTTCCCAGACATAGGAACACAACACTTTTAAAAGTAAATAAGCACAAAAGATTACCAAATTCTCTTTGACATTGGCCTTGGTGAGCAACACCAGCTGAACTGTCTGCGGCAGCGGGGGACCAGGAAAACATCATGGGATGGATTGGGAAAGTATACAGTTTTTGACCAGACATTGGTACGATCGGCTCCAATAAATGTGGTTTTATTATAACTGAAAAACTTTTTTTTGTTGGCCAACTTAAGCTAAATGACATTTTAAAATAATGCACTTAAAACTATCATCTTTTTTACTACACTGTTTTAATTGTCACAAAGTCCCTTTTTTCTTTTTTTGCGTTGTGTGGGGGGAAGAAAGAGATTTGTGAAGCTAGTTATAGTAGTATATTAACATATTTGTCAATAGATGCTCAAATGCAGTAGTATTTTTGATGAAATTTTAGAACAGTACAATTTTTTGATGGGTAGAGACGTGAATAATTAGGGCAACCAGGAGAGGTCTTGATTTGAGAGGCATTGAGTAGAACAAGTACTTGTAAAGCTGTATAGTACTTACAGAGTAATTAGCTTTCAGAGAAAAATATGTTTCCATTTTATTTACTGTAGCATTTTGAAAGCTTGTATGATAAGAAAAGCTCATGTTAATTGAATTGTATTTGAAAATACTTCTAATTTTTCCTTTTCCTCATGTCATTCGCATCTTTGAAAGCCAACTGCTAAGACTATTACATGGTGCATCGCATCATGCAAAAATTTTGACTGACTTCAGTGGGATAATACATTTAGTTGTTATTCTTTGAAAATTTTCAGTACTGGTTTTTAACATCTCTTACTACTTAGGATTTACTAAACAGAAAACCATGAGTATACACAATCGAGTTTTTTTTTTTTTCCTGAGAAATTCACTTTCAAGTAGTCATGTCTTACATACCAAAATGCATGTAACACCCTCATTCAGATATGGGATGTACTGAATCTTTTTTTATACATCTGAGGTCTTTCCAAAGCAGATATTCTTGTTCAAGCATAAGCTGTTCTTGTGGAACTTTATTGTACTTGATGAAAGAAAAACTAGATGAAAATTGATGGCATGGTTCTGCAGGAAGCCAGAAATGATCACATTGAACTTGCCTTAAAATAAATGAATGGTGTAATAGCTTAGAGGCTTGAAAGCTAATTGTGAATTTTTTTCTTACTGATATTTTCAAATACAGTTCATATAACAAGAAGAGTCTTGCTACTTAGACTTTCAGAACACTGCTTTAAATAAAATGGCTACAGAATTATTGAGACTGTGTCCTCTTTACAATGTTTCGGGGATTATAAAAAGCAAACAGGAAAATTGAGCTGTAGGTAGCTGTTTGGGTTTTTTGTGTAATATTTGAGGCAAATGTAGATTAAATGCTAGCTGGTATAAAACAGAACATTTGCTAAGTTTGCAGATGGCAGGGGCAGGTTTTTATTACTACGGTTTTAAGTTAAAATTCTTTTTTTGATCTAGTGCATTATATCTGTGGCAGAACTTTGAATACTCATGGTAGAAAATAATCACCTCATTACTAAGAAGTAATAGAAAATTCTGCAGCTTGTCAATGTAACAATTTTTGAATTTTAATAATTAAAAAATTTGCTAAAAGAAAATCTAATGCGTTACATGTAAAGAACCAATATCCATTTGTTACATCTAAGAAAATAAATGAAAAAATGTGAAAATATGTATTTTTTTTCTGTTTGCATCACGTTCAAAGGACACGTGCTGTGAAGCTTTTGATAGATGTAGGTAATCTATATTTGAAAATTCAGGATCCTGTTTCCAAAAATCCCCCAAAGATTGGAAACTGACGATCACTATAAAGCTTATATGACTGTCTTCTGTTAGCGTGCTTATAAGCGGCTCTGCATTTTCAGATGTGGCTTGAAAAATGTGCACTTCACATCTGCTTCTTGCCTGTCTCAGGATATAGTGCTGAATGAAATGAATACAGATTTTATTTTTTTTTTTTTAGTTGGGATTCGGTTCACTTGAGTGTATGAGGGAGGAAACATTGGATGGTATGACACGAAATGGTGGACAGTTTTTTCTATGCCACTAGCTGAGTCTTGACCAAAAAGAGATTATTTAAATTTAATAAAACCATTGCCCTGTTTGGCATCAAGAAGGCTATTTGCTTTTCCTTTCATACTTGAATAGTTTGAAAGCTGAATGCAGTTTCTATTGAATATTCAAAAGTATGTGTGTTTTGATTTTGAGCATAATATTCAGCCACTTGTTCCTCTGTAGAACTTTAGCTAACACTTCGGTCTTAGTTCTAGGCAATTTAGATGAGGGCTTAGTTTTTGATAGTTAATTGTACTTTGGTGTTCAGTTGCCCATTTTTATGCGTAAGGAATATTAAGCTGCTAAGCAAGAGATGGTTGTAGGCTAAGCTGTGGAAATTCAGGAAAGAGGTCTCCTCTTAAATTCTTACTCCACCACTCCTAGGCATGTTTTTATTTTAGAATGCCCGTGTCTATGATGCAAGGCTATAATATGTTCCATGTTACCTTATCTTTTATACAGTTTTCTTAACAATACAGCAAAATAATCTCCTGCACAGTTGTAGTATCTTAGGTGGAGTGTAGTTTTATATAGTGTTAGGTCTGAATCAATTTTTCTTTAACTGTGTTGTTGTTGTAGGAATTTGCTCGCTTTGATACATCGAATGATAGAGTTTGTGGTACGGGAAGGGCCTATGTTTGAAGCCATGATCATGAACCGAGAAATCAACAATCCAATGTTCAGGTGCTTATTACATTGATTCAGTTTGAAATAGCGCTATTTTCACTGTTTCTAATATTTTGCATTTCTGAAATACTAGTAAGAGCTGTTTTTACTATGTCTGTGTGCAGATTTAAATTTTACAAATTGTACAGATGCTTATACTATCTTTTTATGAAGAATGCACTTTTATTCCAGTTGTTACTAATGTGTACATATAAATACATACCGTATAAAACACACACTATAAAATACATTTGTACATACATAAAATATGTATATCATAAGTAAATACATTTAACACCTACTTTTCTGAGGGATTCAAAGTAATCAGTGGAAGCAGTAGCATACATTTTAAAAAAAGAAAAAAAAAAAAAAACCCAAACCAAACAGACTAACTCAATGTAAAGTCCAGTCTTCCTGGAGCCTAATTTCTAACCTTTAGCAAGAGCTGGGAGTCATTTTTCTTTGATGTCAGTGCAAATAGGATTAAATTTTAGCTTACAGTGAAGTTGTCAGAATTTCCAGCTCGTGTTGTTAATGGAATAAAAAAGGATCAATTTCCAAATTTCTTGTGAAATGCAGTCTCTGAAAAACTTTTTCAGGGAAATACTAAATGACCTTTTAAAAATGTTTTATTTGCAGTAAGGATGAAGTGCTTCATTATGATTTTTATATACAAATTGAGAAAATATGCAGGTCAAAATATCCTGGCCAGTAAAAATGGGCTGCATCCCCCCGCCCCACCCCCGATCTTGTTGGAGTGTTCCGATATACAGTTTACTGGTGGAAAACTTCAAGTAATTTAGTATTTGATCTGAGCAACCTAACTGTAGAACTACGAATTCCTGCACCACTTGTGCTGAGGTTGCAGTTGCTCCCGTAGTCACTCTTTGCACTGATGATTTGTCTGCTTTACTGTGGTGCCGCACAGTTGTTTTTTCTGACCCTGTTTGCTCTGCTTTTAACTTCTGAGAAATGCTGTGCCTTTGTGGAATTCTGTGCTCTGCTTTGCAGATTGCATATGTATGTGCATGGAGTGGTTGCATTTGTTCTGCACAGCTGGCCTGTAGGTGTACCTGATTTTAGCTATCTTGAGTTCACTTGGTAGCTGAGGTGGGATTCTGAACAGGGTTTGTTTATATTTTTTATTACTTCCTTTGAATTTGCTTTAGTTAGTTAATTTGTACTATGTTTTCTGTCTTTGCCCTTTGGTTTAGGTTTTTATTTGAAAACCAGACTCCAGCCCATGTATATTATAGATGGAAGCTTTATTCAATCCTTCAGGCAAGTAGAATTTTAGCGACAATTCATAACTTCAAGCACAACGAAATGAGGGAACACCAAAGTAAAAATTCTGTGGTTTTTTGTTTGGTTGGTTTTTTTTTTTGTAGGGAGATGCTCCAACCAAGTGGAGGACAGAAGATTTCCGTATGTTCAAGAATGGATCGTTTTGGAGGCCACCACCATTGAATCCATACTTGCATGGGATGTCAGAAGAGCAAGAAACGGAAGCATTTGTGGAGGAACCGAACAAGAAGGGTGCACTTAAGGAAGAGTATGAACTTCCATCAATTTATAGTGCTGTTTTAACTACTAATCTGCTTGGTTTTTTCCTGTTGTGTTTTTGTAGTTATATCATCCCTAAAATGTTATCATGCTTGTCATAATACTACTTAGAAACTCTCTTAACCTCAGTGCTTTTCAGTTAGTCTTTCTTGATGATACTTGGTGCTAAATATGTTCTGGATTTCATTAGATTTGTCATCATTGAACAATGAGTCCTTTCAATACAATTGTTATTAACCCTTTATTTGAAGGGGATTGGGAAGATGAGAGTTTTTTCCCCATTTTCTGTTCCTGTCTGTTGGTGGGGGTATATAGCACCTTTCTCAACATCGTAACTATAAACAGTTACTGTTGATGCTGCTCATCAGAAATTAAAATTGGGAGCAGTTGTTAATAAGCAGGAAGGGACAGATCATCAGAGTTCTTTGCTGTGAATTGTAAGTGTGGTGGGGATGGCTGTGGTAGTGGAAATATATACGTGATTTTCTTAATTTTGCTGTTGTTCCAACTGTGTTCTTAGCATGTGGAATTTTTTCTGGTTTCATTCTTTTTGTCATAGTTATGATACCAGTCATGGGTCTGGAGGTTTTAATACATAATTTATTTCATATGTCTTCCTACTGAAAGGTTCAAAAGGATAATCTTTTGAGGGTGTTCTCTATATGTGGAGGTCAGGGAAAACCTGAAATAATTGCTTCTTACTAGCTTTCTGAATCTAATACTTATTCCACAGCAGCAATTACTTGCATGATTTAGATTTATCTGTTTTGATTTAGGCTTAAACTAAATCCAAAAAGATATTGATATTTATTAGAGATACTGATCTGCTGTATTAGGTATTTCTCAGTTCTTTTTCCTTGATTTCTGTATGTAGTCAAGACTTGAGTGGGAGGGGTTTTTGCACTTTGTTTATTTATGTAATGTGGATGCATATGTTCATGAGTCACTGAAAAAACTCAGGCAACAGAATATAAAAATATTTTAAATTGCTTTTGTCCCAAAGATGGAAAAATCAAAACCAGCATTAAATGGAAGTTCTCCAAAGTACTATTAATTTTATATTGTATAAATAATAATAA